ATATAACTATGTAATGTTTTAATTTTTAGTTTTTTCTATTCAAAAAATAAATATATGGAAATTTTAAGAATTTATATTAGAAAAGTTTATAAATTTAAAGTTAGAAATGATTAAAATTAATAGACAATTATGTACTATTACATTTCACAATTAGCATTGCTATTTATAATATGAAACATAATTTATTTTGAAAACTTTATTTAAAATTACATTTATATAATGAAAAATTAATTAAAGGTAGGAATTTACTTTTAATTTATTAAAAATACTTTTTGTTTATATTAAATATATAGCCTACATTTAAAACATTTGTAGGTTGATATATTATTATAAATGAAACTTTCATATACAATATAATAAGGGACATAAATTGTCTTTATAAATTAATGCTGTTAGTCTTGCCTAATTTGAAGTAATAATTAAATCTTTGATTAAATTGTTAGAGTTTTAATAGCATATTTTAATGAAACAAGCAAATTTGTGATAAACATGGAAATTTATTTTTTCTTGTTTTCATTTGATGATTTTTTATTACATAAATTTGATATATTAAATCTAAGAAAAGCTTGAATTTTAATAATTTAAAAAAATATATTAAAAAAAATCTAATGAATAAAATAGAAATTCCTCAAATATTTAAACTAATTAAATAAAATATGTACATTTTTGCATATTAATAAACGTTAAACAAAGCATATTGCAATTAAATCTTGATGGAAATTCGTTAAACTTTTATCTCGATATTTTCTGGGTGGAGATTCTTCGTCACTACGAAATTCTATTCTGAAAGAAATTTGGGTGTGCCTTTTTTATTGTCATCTCGATTATTAAATAAATTGCTTGCTATATTTTTAATAAATTTATTTATAAAATTATAAATAGAAAATTAATACATTCCATTGAAAATCTCTTCTAGACAGCGTTCCTTTCTGATGCCGAAATTCCATTCGAAGGTCACAGAAATATTCCGGATTTTGTTAGATAATTAATTTGTTTTATAAAATGTGTCCTGACAGAATTGTCAATAGTAAATCACCCCATTACTTTAGCAATTATATGACTTACAACAGCAGTAATATCAAAATGAATCATCGTATCCTGAGTAAAATTAGGGAATGCGTAGCCCAGCAGGACATTTCTATCAACGTTCGACGGGAAATGGAAAAAAAAAACTTCATATCACGCTATCGTTGGATAGGTAATGCTGAATATATTTCATTAAAACTTCAGAAAATATGTTAAAGTATTGTTAAAGAAACAGGATACGATACCGTGTTAATTAAGAAAAACTTAAGTACTGTATAATCAACCAGAAACTTGCCTCTAGAGATAAGAGTTAATTAGAATTGTATCGGTTCAGTTCAATTTTAGATAGAAGATAATAATGGCGTCGGGTGTATCCAGTCTGTCGGCGTCACTGTTGCATCGATTGTTTTCCTACTTCTATATTTATGTACATGTTCGCATATAAATGTCTAAATTTGCAAGGATTTTTCTAATTCCATGCTTTTATTACTCTTTGGGAATAATTATTTCTAATTATCATCAAGCTTATATCTTTTAATAATAATTTCTACATGTTTTTTATAAGCATATTTACAAAATTATATTTTCATCTAAGAATTAAGAATGTTTTTATACAAGGGAGAAATGTTATACCGAAAGACAATAATAAAATTTATTTTAATTTAAATCATTAATGTATTCTATTTCTGAATATCTTATATTATTTTATATTGCTTTCGCACTAGCAACTTATATACATACCAACCTAAATTAAAATATTAAAATTCCAAAAAGTTCTTATTATTTTCAGCCTTAATGGTTATAAAAATTCTTCAAATGTTAATAAATATAGTAACGTATGATAAGAATGTTTGAAATGAACTAATACAAATGAAATTAAATGAGGAGGAAAAGATTTATGTCAAAGATAACTTTGGTCTCTGTCTACTAGTTTGTAACAAATTTATCTGGTTTGATGTAATTGTTTTTCAGAGATCTTTGATTAAAAAATTTAATAATAACACAGAAAATATATTTAAAAATTTAATATATTAAAGAAATGAAAATGAAATAATAAAATATTGATTTGCGAAACTCTATTCATTGATATTTCAAAGTAATTATTTATCATTTTCTCAAATTTGCTGGGAACTTCTGTAAATAAACGACAGTATTCAGGAAGTAATTACAAATGGCTCATTTATATTTAGGTCATTTCTTTTATTTTAAATGAGTTTCTTTGTATGAAGTCAGCAAAATTTACAAAATAGAACTTGAGGATATTTCCCTGTAGGCCTTTTATAGTTTTGTTGTATCCTTTCTAAAATTGAAAGCGTTGGAATTTTTGTAAAAAGAGAGTTTCCTAATCCTAAGGGAAATATTCTTTAACGTGAAGAAACGGAAACCGAAAAAATATCTGATTTTGTTCGGATCTTTTACTATTATCAAATCATTTTAACCTTATTGTATAAACTTTATTTATTCTTTTGTATTTCTTTTAAAATATAATAGAAATTTGGGCATTTTTCATTAGAAAATTTACGGTTGCTTGGAATACTTTATCAATTTATTATTTTTTATGTATATTTAACAGTAAGAGCAGGCCTATAAATATTTTACAAAGGCATTTTATAATTTATTATTCATGTCTATTGTAAAGAAAGATATATCCTTCTACATTATTCTTCAGAAGTATCTTTAATCTTAATATTTCTGGCATAATAAATGACAATCGTCCGCAGATATCCGTAACACTTTAATCAAACCCAAATATCATTTCAAACGTCCTTATAACTATTTAAAATAAATTTCATCTTTCTATAAAATGGCTTCTTTCTGAATTTTTCAGAAAACGAAACAAAAAATACAAAATACATTCAAAATCGCCAAGGAATCGTTTTAATTCTTGATGATTCTTTGGTCTATTTTTTGTATGTTGAATAAAATAACTATTGAGATTGTTCAATGTTATTTCCATATCAAAGTTAGGAAAATTCAAATATATTTTATTACAATAAATTAAATTTAACTTTCAGTTTCGTGCCTTTAAAGTTAGCCTAGATATTCGTGTAAGGTATTATACGACCCCATTATTTATGAAACTTTTATGTTCTGTTTTAAACTTATGGTTTACTTTATTTATACATTTATTAACATAAGGTATTTTATACGCCTTATAACAATTTCCTGAATAATAATTTATTTTTTAATACGTGAAAGTATTAAAAAATCATTGAAATTCTTTTGTTTAATGATAAATAATTAAGTTTTACATAAATATGAATAAAGATTATGCGAGAAAAGTATAAAATGTAATTTAAGAGCTTTGATTCATTAACAATATATTTTGTTAATTGATTTCTACATTATAATTGTAGGTCTACTCAGAGATAAATAATGAAATGAATTCCCTCTATTAAAACACAATTAAGATTTTAATTAACGTGTGTAAAATTACTCGTCAATCACATTATCTTTGGTATAATTTGAAATGGCGAAATGTATATAAAAAGTAAATATTTTAATGAATAGAATATTATCTAAGAAAAATTATTTATATTTCTGAAAATTTCATATTATAATATTCATTTAAATGAAAAAAATAATCAACAATTACATAATAAAATACATTTTAAAATGCTGCAATTAATGCCTGAAGTTGTGAAGTGTGAAATTTGCTGTGATTGAAATGATGGTGCTATTATCATTGTTGTTATCTTTGTGATATTCTTACTAGCTTTAAGCATTATATTATAGCATTACTAACAATATATTATACGTTGCTATTTATTGAAGTAAATTATCGTATTGAAGTTTTCAAATACGCTTGTTAGAAAACCGTTGTAAAGATGGAATTTTATTCTTTATCCGTTGTAAAGGATTCTTTCTATATGAATTAATCTGACTGATTTTTTTCTTAAATATAAAATTTTATTTTTAAACGAGAATTTTTAATTAATTAATTTTAATTTTATATTCTTCATTTATTGGTTTTCTGATTTTATTATTTTATTTCATAATTGATTCGCTGCATTTTGCATTGCTTAGACTTCTATTATAATCAACGAAAATATAAATTTAATAAAACCAAAAGTAAAAAAAAATCACATTAGTGAACGATTGTTCAATCAAACTTTTTCATTCACGTCTCTTAGGACAGCAATAATGAGATTTCAAATAACAATATCATTAAATACTCAGAAACATTAATTTCATTTTTCTAAGAATCCTGACAACTACTTAAGGAAAAATAAGAAAGGAAAGATTCTTTATTTGTAGAAGTACTGTATACGCGAAGAAAGATATATGATTCGTGTGTGAATTTTAGAATATTTATTCTCTTATATAGTTTCATATCCGTTTTATTTTATTGCTTTTAATATTCTTTACACATTGTTATTGTACAAAAATATTTTTAAAAAGTAACCTAAAAAGAAGTAAATATGCATATATTTTAATGTAACATTGTAAAATATGTTAAGTATATATAAAATTATAATAACTATACATGCTTATATGCTAAAATAATAACTGCGTGCACATTGCTGATAATTTGAAATTTAAAGATTAAGACATTTTCATAATATGTGTGTATTATATTATATATTATAATATATAGGCTTGTGTGCGAGTGTTATTTTTAGTTTAATACTGAACTTTTGACAGAGATGTATTGATTTCGATTTGTTCCTATCCAAAATGGATGTGCCTGTAGTAGCTTTTCTATTTAGATAAATTGCTACGTGGTTATGTATTAACGTTGTCATTTTTATTTATGATAACCTGATTATGAGCAATAAAAATCGTTAACAATAGCATTAGGAATTTCACGTTGACTCAAGAGTTATAGATCATTTTCCTATTGAAAAATAAATTGGTTAATTATAATTTGAATATTAATTCTCAAAAACAAGAATCGCAAATTTTCCCTTTGTGTTGGCTGCAATAACAATTTGTAATAGAATTTGTAATAATTTATTTTAAAAATATTTCAGATATTTTTGTCTAAACATGGATAAGAAACTTCCCTCAACCTCTGAAATACCGAAACAGATATCTAGTGCCGAAAAGACTTCAGATAAGATTATTTTCGTAAAAACTAAGGAAACTGAAAGTTCTTCCTCTTTAATTACGCAGCTTCAAGGTTCAACATCTTTAAGTAGAAACGGGGGTAAAAATGGGGACAGTGACATTACAGATAGTAAGGTTAAAGAAGATCAACCCAAGTTATCCAGTAAAACAATAACTGAAACAGAAATACGTTCAAAGGATTCACCTAAAGAGAAAACTGTACCTATTTTAAAAAGTTCTAATGATTTTAGTGAAGATTTAACTAAACAAAAATCTCATACAACTACGATACAGTTCGCGGAAATTCCAGTGGATGCTGCTTCATCGGCTCAAAGAATTGCTAGAGAAACGAATGAAATCAAAACGGATTTACAAAGATCTAGTACTGTTCCAGAAATTAGTTTAAGAAAAGAGCCCGTAGAGGAAACAGAAACTGTTACTACTACGTATGTAGATTTAACACAATTACCTTTAGACGAAACAAGTCAACCGTCTTCGTTATTAGACTGGAATTCGGATAAGCATTCGTTATATCGTAATAAAACTGAAGTTAGAAGTGTAGGAAATCTTTCTTTCCATACAAAAGAAAAAACAGATTCAGGAAAAGAAGAATCTTCTTTCAAAAAATCTTTAATTCGTGAAAGTGATCAGGATAAAGTCGATGTCATAAGGACTGAAGACACTTTAATATCTAAAAATTTGCAGTCTTTGTTAGATAACGAAACATCAGAATTTCAAACTGATAAATTGGTTAGTGAACAAGTGCCGTCCAAGACTGTGATTTCTGATTCTTCACCTTCTCACGTTTGTATTTCGTTAAAACAAGCTTCGGATTTGGGGAAATCTAAGAATATTATTGAAGAAACTATTTGTACTTTTGATAAATCAAAACCATTGCCTTCTAAAGATACTGAAAAATTATTAACCCAAAAAGAAAGTGATAAATTAAGTGATGCCAAAAAATCTATATCAGACAGTAATCAGATAAATTCATTTATTTCACAGCAACAGCATGATTTAACAAAAGATCAAAAACAGCATGAATTAGGAACTTCTCACACGCAAGCTAAAGAAGATACTTTTGATAAAACAGTACCAAAAGCTGATTCTGTAATTACAAAAACAGTTAAACCAGTTTCGAAAACAATTTCAAGTACGTCTATCCCTGGGAAAGATATTACTGATAAAAAAGGAATTGCGAAAGCTGAAGAAAAAATAAACGCTTTGGAGGAATCCATATCGGATTCTTTCGCTGTAAAAGATTTTAAAATAGAATCAAAATCGTCAATCAATTTACCCGAAACCATTCCGCAACCAAAAGAATCGGAAGTAAAATCTGAAGATAAGTCAAAAAAATCAATAGAAACAGATAAAAAAGAAGCGATTTCAATAGAAAAAGAATGTTTTTCTTCACTCGAAACACAAAAAGAAATTCAATCAAGTTCTTTGCCTTGCAAAGAGGAAGTCATTGAAGGGTCACCGTCAATTCATAAAGATAAACAGCCGTCGGATAAAGAAGTGGCTGCATTTCAATTACAAAAAGATAAGGATAAAGTATCAGATGTAATTAAAAAAAATGAGCTGCTTGTTACAAATGTAGAAGGTAAAAAAGAAAAATCTGCAGCCGTTAAAGAAGACAAAGAGAATTTTATACAGAAACAAATGCCATCGAAGAAAGAAATTGGAATCGCACAAGCAGAATCGTCAATCTCGAAAGAAAATGAAACTTTCTCAACAGAGGTTTCAATTTCCAAAAAAAAAGAGATATTACAAAACATGAAAGATATAGGAAAAGATAGAATAAACGAAGAAAAGTCTGTTTATGACAAAGAAAATATTTATCCATCTGCTGTTTCGGAAAAAGAAAAAGAAGATAAATCGAAGCAAGGATATAAAGAGCATACAAATATTTTACAGGATAAAGTGGATGCTACCGCTACATCTTTCGAAAAAATGATCGCATGTCCTTCGTCAGAAAAAACTGAAAAACATGATAAAAAATTAGAAATTAAATCCGAAATATGTTCTCAAAATCACGAACAACAACAATCAGAAAAATCAAAAGTACCACAGTTTGAATATCAAGAAATGTCAACAGGTAAATATTCTAAATCCGTTACAGAAGAAACAAAAGCTCAGTCATTTTTAAAAGATGATGCCAAAGCAACAATAGAAACGGATATCAAAACGAAGCAAAAATTAGATACATGTAAGCTTTCAGACTCGACATCATTACCAAAAGAAGAAGTATTCTTAATAGGTCAAACTGCCGTTCTTGGTACCGAAGAACATTTATCACAGTTAAGCAAAGAAAATCAAAAAGTTCTATCAAAACCTTCCACCTATCAAACCACAGCAGAAAAAATTACTTCTCAAAAAGAATCAAAACAACCATTTGAAATAGTTAAAGATGAGAAAGATTTAACACTTTCAAAGATAGATCAATTTTTGAAAGATGAGAAAACTGAAAAAGAAAAAGTAATTAGTGAAAAACAGACTGAAAGTAAGAAAATATTACCTGAATCAGAAACCATTGTCCAAGAACAATTAGATCATATAAAAGATTCTTTCGTTTCTGAAGTACAACAGGTAATTCCTAGTACAGGCATAAAATTAGATAATGAGAAAGAAACGAAAGTTGCAGATAAAAATAATAAAAATTTATTGCAAGAAATTTATTCTGCTGAAATGGAAACAAAAGTTACTGATATACCATTTAGTATTTCTCAAGAAAAAAAACAATATACTAAAGATGAATCGCCAAAAGAAATGTCAAAAAAACATGAAACATTTTCTATTGTTTCTGACGATAAAGAAATAGAATCATTAAAACCTACAGTCGATAAAGACGATCAGACTGAAAATAAAAACGTTCCTAATAAGCTCGCAGAGACCAAAACTTTTGTCATGAACGAAATGAAAGAAAATAAATATGAATTTCCTGAAGAGAAGGGAAAATTGGTGCTGCTTTCAACCGATTCAAAGGAGAAAGAACTGCCTACATCCGATGATAAACATAGTAAATCGGAATTTACAAAAGAAGTGCCATTAATAGCGTCTGTTGTGAAGACTGACGTAAACTTGACAAAAGAAACAGTTATAGTTAAAGAGAATCAAATTTCTGAATCAAAAGAAAAGCAAGTATCAAAAGAAATAGAATTTCAAAGTTTGCCTTCAAAGTCAATTCCAGAGAAAGAAATAATTTTACCATGTTTTCGGGAATCATCTTTATTAAAACATGATGATGGAACTGAAGAAAAACAAGTTCCTCCCACAAAAGAATATTCAGAAATATCCAAAGATCTGTCAACGGATAAAAAAAGAAGTGATTTAGAAATCTCCTTACAGAAAGATAGTTCAAAAGCAATACCTGTTATTGATTCCGATAAACAAAAAGAAATTAAAGATTTGCCAAAACAGAAAGATACGTTAATATCTACGTCAAATGAAAATGAAAAAATTTCTTCAAAACTAGTCGATGAAAAAGAAGTTTCGAAAAAACCTGAAAAGGAATTGCCTCAAAAAACAGAATATAAAGAAGAGAGAAAATCTCCATCCAATATTTCAGAAGAAGTGCCATTAGAAATTGAGAAATCGAAAGAGGTGAAACCGCTTAAAGATATGCTTTCTGAGATTTCCGAACCTACAAAACATTCAACTCTATCACTAAATATGTTACAGAAAAAGCCGATTGAATCTAAACAAGAAATTGTAGATACTTCAAAAAAGTTAGAAACGTCTTCTGAATCTAAAAAGATAGCAGAGACTTTAATTAAAGACTCCGCCGAAAGTTTAATATTCTCACAAAAATTAGAAACTGTAGATAAATCGGGTAGTATAAAAGATACAAACGAAACAGTAGAAAAACTAAATGAAAAAGACACGTCTTCTAGTTTCAAAATTGAAACAATTTCTGATGAATTAAGAACTTTAAAGCCGTTAGCCGATTCTATGAAAGATAAGTTAGATAATGAAATCGAAAGTAAAGATAAAGAAACTTTACAAACACAGTCACATATTTTAAATGAAATTAATCTTAAACAAACATCACTTAAATCTGAAAAAGAAACATTAGACTCTCAAATCTCTCTCCCCAAAGATAAACCCGCATCTCCAATTCTCTCTCCTAAAGAAAAGACAGATAAACAATCACTACCTTTTACAACAGAAGAACCACATATACATACTATTGATAAAACGAAAGTAGAATCGACAATACAAATGAAAAGTCAATCATCGAAACAGAAACAGAGGCCTCTTCCAACTGTGGGCGTGTCACCATCCCATACTATTTCCAATATAGAATCTGAAAAAATAAAAGAACCTAGTAAATCCGTTACAAATGAAGATGCACCCGCAGAAATTTCGCCAACACAGTCCATTGTAAATAAACAATCCATTTCTGAATCGATTATAATTGGACCTAAAGATGTAAAATCTGTTCCCGATTCGAAAACGGATGCTGCTTTAGATAAAATGCCTTCGGAGAAACAAAAAGACAATGAAATTTTTGTAAAAAGTGCTGCTTATTTAGAACAAAGTGAAGAAAAGACGGACAGTTCTAAAATGTCTTCGATTAATGGATTTGTTTCTTCTCTAGTGCCTGATGATAAAGAACTTCAAAAAGCCGTCCTTACTAAAACGGGGGATGCATTAAACCAAGCCGCGCAACACGATGTAAAACCCGATATTGCTGACGTAAAACCAGAATTAAAAAGTGATATAAAAACAGAAGTGAAATCCAGGGTAGAAATAGATACAAAAGTTGATGTAAAATCTAAGAAAGATGACGTGAAACTTGATCTAAAACCTGAAATGAAAACAGACTTCAAATCCGAAGTGAAAATAGAAGTGAAGCCCGATATAAAGCCTGACGCGAAACCCGATGTGAAAGAAGTGAAACCTGACATGAAGCCTGATGCGAAGGAAGAAGTGAAATTTGACGTAAAACCTGACGCGAAACCCGATGTGAAAGAAGGGAAACCAGACGCGAAGGAAGAAGTGAAACCTGATGTAAAACCTGACGCGAAACCCGATGTGAAAGAAGTGAAACCTGACATGAGACCTGACGCGAAGGAAGTAGTGAAACCTGNTAACCGTTTTTATGTAAAATCGAATTTAATAGTACGAAATTTATAAAAACATTTCGTATAAATTTACTTTTGTTTCCTTTTATTTCAGGTAATTACAGTGAAAAAGTTGGAGTGGCACGCAACTTCTAAGATAGGATCATTAGAGAATGCTAATTATAAACCAGGAGGAGGAGATAAGAAAATAATAACCCAGAAATTGGAATTTAAGGATAAGGCACAGCCTAAGGTTGGGACTCGTACTTTAAAATATCTGGCACCTATTGGGGGTGTTAAAGTTAATTAAGATTATATGACTACTGAAGATGGTTGATATGATGATAATTCCTGAGAAATGCACCATCAACAGTCTAAACAAATTGATATATTGTATTTATAGACACTGTAAATATGTTGCGAATCAAGAAAATAAGTCAAAATTAAGTTTACAAATTGATTTATAAATAATATATATATAATACTGTATACGTATAATATATTTTTCCGAATAATTAAGTTCTTAATGTAATATCTAATAAATTAAGCTGCGGTTAATAATAATTTAATATAAAGTTATATTATCATTATTTATTTATTGCACAAAGCACTATATTTACTGTTTATGTTTATTTTTTTCACACAGCAAGGTGACAGTGAAAGTGATACAGACACAGTATGTATTTATTAATTGTTGTTTGTATTTTGTTTACTTGCACTCCATTGTTATTCCTTTGTCTATCCTGTTCATTTCAAAATATTATTACTTTTTACAAAAAGACTTTATAAAATGAAAAATAATAATAATTATATATTTATAAAATTTAAAAAAAAACATATATTTTGAAATGAAAGAAAATCCATCCTACTTTTTTAGTTGAAAAACACGTCACCACACCTTCCCATAACACTATTCCCTAGTTCTGTAAATTCGAACTACGGAAATAAGTATTAGCGCATAAACTATGATGTTTTCTATATTATTAAATAATAAAATTTTGCTGTTTGGAAACATATAAAAGTATGCGGATATGCATACTTTTAATAAAGTTTCAATTTAAAAAAAGAGTTTATTTCTGGAAAGTGATAATGAATATTATAATAAATACTACTTGTAAATCTATTAAGTTTTTTATTTGACTTTATCATAAAAATAACACAACAGACATACAGACGTTCTCAGAACAAACATCTTTCTCTTTGTGTGTGTTTCATCCCCGATCCTGCATGATTGAGTAGAAATTGTGTCAACCCGAATACAATGCGTCCTCCCGTATTGTGTTGGTCTCAATTGCCTAAAATCCGCTAAATATTAAATCATAAATTGGATTTCTCTTCAGATTGAGACTCTGAAGGGAGACAAGAAGTCTTTCCTCAAGAGTTTACAATATGACGACGAGACATCCGAGGATCAGGTAAAGAAAAAATTAAAAAACACTACCAGAATTTTTAATAATTTAATTTTAAAAATCCTATTCTGTCTTTTAATTTATCAAAATATAATAGAAATTTCGTGAGAAATACAAATCAGCTCGGTAATTAAATTCTGGCTTTAGTCATCTAAAATCGCGTGTGTTGATAATTATGTACTTAAATTGCTTTATAGCGCCGTTTTATCGAGTATCGTTGTAACGAGGTATCGTTTATAAGACGTAAAATTTGAATGAATAGGCCTAATACCCGAAATGAAGTTCAAAAATTCATTTTAAAAAATCTTTACCAGTAAATTCTTTCGTACGTAAATATAATAAATTTTCAAAATTTATTATTATTTAATTTTGAAAATAAATTTTGGGGGGAATTTTCTGAAAATTATCCACAAAAACACATTCAAAAAAAATTTGAAGTGAGTAAAGCAGTGCCATCTAGTGTAAAATAAAGTAACTTATAATGTCCAACTAAACTTTGTAATCAATAAATTCTTTTTCTAATTTCCACTGTTATTAAGCCGTAAATATAAATCAAATATCGTTTTTAAATGTTACAATACATCAAGACAATGATATTGATAAATACTTTCGACATTAATCTGAATTTTGCAAGTTATGATTACGTATTAAAAATGTTCAGGTCATACTTAATGAAGATATTTAATGTCGGTTAGACGAAAATGAGGAACTTTTCGGTAAAATTAGATTTTGTTTTAAAATTTTAAATTCATTTCCGAATAAAATATTAAATTAATTCATTATTTTTAATATAAAATTCTCTTAATAAACTTCTCTTATTTGTACAGTATAATAATAACCTAGATTTTAAATAAATTTTATAAAATTATATCTTACGCAATAAAAATTTGAATATCTTTTAAAACATTTAAAAATCATCACAAGTATCAATTTTGTAACGTGGCACGAAAACACAACACAAAATCATTTTTACTTTTCATTTCTTCCTTTTAATTATTTATCATTTTTAAAAAATATTCTCATTTTTTATTGATTTATTTCCCATCTCTGCATTATTTCGTCTCGTATTAGTTAAAAAAAATTATAATTAATTTTGTAATTTTAATTGTGTTAATTAAAAAAATATTTTAAAGTAATTAATAATTAGTTTATATTATTAAATTCCTCAACATTGACTTAACTTTTTTAATTACAAAGTTAATTTAAAGATTCGAAAAATAGAATAGATTCCAATGAAGATTATTATTATTATTATTATATACAACATGAAAAGTCAACAATACTGAAGTTCATTTAATTAATAAGATAGCTTGTCTCGTACATGTTAGAGCTTAAATATATATAGGCTACATAAATAGTAATAAGAATGCTCTAAATTATATAATTAGTGATATTATTATTTGTTTTCAGCAACCTATAGAATCAGGTTCGACTGAGACTCCCGCCGCTCAGGAAGATACAACTACAACAACACAGGAAACTACCCAGAGTCAAGATGTTACTGCATAGAATATAGACGATCCATATCCCGAAATTAATTTATTTCCATTACAGTAACTAAAGGATACGTATTCTAGCTGTCGTCTTGCATATTTTAATCAATGCTACACATTAGAAAAACTGAAAATATAGTTCCTTCATTTAATATATGTTAATGTATTTCTTGGGGAAAGAACGAATATTTATTCACACATTAAATGGGTTTCTTTTATAAATGCTCAAGTTGATGATTTATTAAATTTAATTTGCAATTTTTCTTGGCTTAAAGTGCCACTTTTGTCGATGAGATATGGCAGAGATTTGTAACTGACACAAATTTTACAGTATCTTAATATACAATCACCTATTCATATACATTACATATATATATTTTACTGATACAATCTAAAAGAAAAGCCTTAAAACTTTATATAATACAATACGTCTTTATACGGGATATTAAAAAAAAATTGTATGGGGGATTGGTAAATACAATCATACTGAACTTTATATTATCTTAAAAGTATTATGAAACACATATCTATTGCATCACTTTCACTTTCTGTCATATCTGCATCTAAATTTTTAATAAAAACAATAAGAAAAAAATGAAATTTCGTTCTTTCCACAAGTGGGTTTGCTTTCATTTGTCAGATTGAAATGTATCGTGTAAACCTGCAAAAGCCCCATTTCGCTGTAATAATATCCAATTAGCAAAATATGTTCGTGTGTATGTTTCATATTCTAGAGAGGCTGAGAGTGTATGGTTTATCGAAACAGAAATTATATTCTAAGTTACTATAAGAGGGTGGGATTGGGATAAGTTTTGTATATTGCGGGCCTAAAACGGATAAAAGTTAGATAATAAAAACCTTGTGAGCTAAGATATAAAAATAGATATATATATATATTAATAAATTAAATATATATAAATATATATAAAAATATAAATATGGCCTTGATTCCTGGAATAGCCTTGTGATAATGATCTCAGAGGTGTGTATTTTGTAGATGGCTAATAAACTTAGCTACTGACCCGCCTTATATTTGCTTCTTCTTATTAACAGATTACTAACAACATTAAGGAAACTTCTGTGACTTCTAAATTTTCATTTAAAAGATGCATTCTATCAATAATGTGATTAATATAATCGATGCACAAATACACGATAATATAAAATTTACAATAAATCTTAAATAACAATTTTTTTATTGTGACTAATTACAAAAATATTTAATTATCTGAAATGAATATATAAAATTTTTATGTAATTTTATTAAGAAATAATTCTAACTCTTTCCATATTTCGTAATATCATGAGTAATAGAAATTTTAAATCATAGACACTTACTTTGCACAGATTTATTAAAGAATTTTTATTGACAAAATTTACTTATAATATATATATATAAGTTATATATATTATGGTTTATATAACTTATATGATTATTTAAAAATAAATAAATGAAATATAAATTAATTAATCATAATAGTTTGCCTGTAACTACTGCAGGACAAAATTTAAATTACTGTACTTATACAAACAAAATGGCATTTATTCATTAAATTAATATTGTTTTTTAGAATTTTTTCCGCCTAATTGTAAAATATATTAAGTTCATTTTAATATTTATTTAATCTTAATTTTATTTTTGTTTTCCCCTCCAAAATCTGTATTTAAATATAATTATTTGCGTATATCCAACGGAAAAAAAAATTCTGAAACGGATGCGATCATGTCGTGTTTTTTAAATAAGTAATATAATGCTGCCATCTGTTATCGAACATTATAACTACTCGATTGTTTTCAAAATTAAATAAACCTACCTGTTATGCATTTTTATATACAATACTTAAAATCGCTCTTTAAAATTAATTCTAAATAGTTAAACAAATCTTTATATTAAATAATTTAACAATTACTATTTCCAGATGCCATTTTTTAAATATAAAAAAATTAAATAATTAAAATTAAAATAAATTACTATATTAAAAAAATTCATAAAAATGTGGAAAATTAGTGAAAACATTAAAATTTAAATAAATTACTAAAAAAATAAAGCATTAGAAATAAAAATTTAAAAAAAATTATGTATTCGCTCACCAGATGTCGCGAGCACCTACGGAAAAAGTTGAGAAGGTTCTTTGAATTCATAAATATTCTTTGTATTCAACACATTAATGCTTTAGAAATTTTAAACCCGAAATAATATAATTTGGAGAAAATAAATTAATGTAATCCCGCCCCAAGACCATTAACAGATGTTAGAGTAAATTCTATTATCAATTTTTCCTCAATAAATCTAATTATTACCATAAATAGTTGTATTTTATTTCTTTGTAAGAACTCAAAAATTTAAATACATTAGGGGATATTAGCTAGTAACACGAAAGAAGCGAATCTTTGTATGGTAATGGTCTAAACCGGTATATATCTGTTAAGCCAAATAAGACTAATAAAACCATCATTTTAATTCAAGTCCAGGCAATAAGCGGGGAAAATAACAGACATTTCTAATTAGCAGTCATGTCCGAACCTCGGTAGATACTAATGGGAAGCAGGCACGGTTCCTCTTGCTATGGTCATCAAAGGGTGATGGTAATTTGTCGTCGACTGCAATTTGCTACAAGAATCACGCAACACTTAGCAGAAATTTGACGTCCGAATAATAGCCAAAAATAACTCTACGGATGGATTAAGTAGCCTCATTTTTCTATTCCAGACAGCATCCGTATTGTTAGAAATATTTTAGCCATTTAATAAAGACGTATTAAGTAGGCAAAACGCTCAAAACTTTCCATCCATTGCTCAAAGTTCCCATTTCAATTTCACTATAAATGAAGCCATTACATGTTCTGACATGTCCTTAATGCAAATATGCACCGGCAATTATAAGCAGATAACAAATAGTTTCGGTGTTATTGGCTACAAAAGACCACCAAATTCATTAAAAAACTCCAATAAAAACTAATTATTTTTTCTGTAATTATCAATTTTTGATAGATTAATTTCGGAGGAATTCCTTTAACCATTAAGGGAAATTAATTACGAGAAAGTTAATAATTTTTAAATATTTTCGAAAATGATTTTTCGTTAAATAGTTTATATACGTCTTAACTGTTACTTCAATTATTTTATAAATCATGCAAAACATTACTGTAAAAAGAGAAATAAATATAAGTTAGGATATCCGGAGAAGCAACATCCCGGGGTGGAAGTAAGGGGGGAATTAGGAGAAAAAAATGAAGAGAACACACCAATTTTTCCCACAAAATATATGCCCGGAACGAAAAACTTTTTAACCACCGCCAATAAATTCCGTTAATCTTTTTTCTAAAGAGGAAAATTGAATGATGCACTTTATTATGCTTTAATTCACGCCATTAAAAGTGGAAGCAGCAAGAATTGTTACTAGCGTGAAAAACGGCCATTCTCCCATCCGAGCTTGCGTGACGCACAAGTAGTGGAGACAGATGAAGCGTCGATTCATCCCAATTACTGCAGCACCAAAAAAGCAACTTTAGCGGCCTCTTTTAATGGGTACGTCTTAACGAGCCAATCTATCGGGCGAAAGAGAAAATGAGAGGCAGAAGGCCGAAGAGAAATTATGCGCGTTTTTCCTCCGCCCTAAATTATCGCTGTTTTTCAGTTTCATAAAAGCTACTCCAGTTAAGAATAAAATACGACGCATTTGCTACAGTCTTTAAGTGGAAATAAATATTCGTTGTTTAAGAACCATTAAAAACCTTCTTAATGCGTTTACCCATTATTTCTCTGCAAACATTCCCATTTCGTGTAACAGTAGAGAAATATAAATCTGCAAATGGAAGCTGCGATCCCTTCCTCTAACCAAATTGTTTTGGAACTTCTTTCCATTGCCGAAGACAAATGCCCCCAGCCAGGGTCTCTTGGCCGATTTCAATCCTGAATTAGGTCTAATTCTCATTTCGTGTCATTGCTAATACAGAAAAGAGTAAATTATCTTCGGGCCGCCACCTGTGGTTAATCCTTTAAAACATCTTCTCCGTCTTTTCCTAATGGGCCAACAAGGAAATTGAAATGAAAAAAAATAAAATAAGAGAAAATTCTTTTATTTCATTTCATTTTTCTTACTTTCTTATCATCATAAACGTAATTAACTGCAATAAATTTTTGTGCAACAAGTTTTCTTAATGGAGCTCAAAATATTGTTTTCAATTTTAAAGTAAATTGAAATTTTTCCAATAAACTCTGTTCAAATATTGCTCGAAAATCAATACGCACCGGTTGCGTTATTAAATATAATGAGTCCCGTTATTAAAATAGAATAAATCTTAAAATAGTATAAAGATACACTTAAAATATTTCATTAAAATTAATTCCTAAAGCTTATTTTAATCGATTTTTCCGTAAAAAAAACAATATAGATAGGAAAACTTTAAAAAACGGAACAGCTTATCAATTTTTTATTATCCCTGCCTTATATATTAACATTGTTGTATTAAGTACAACCTGTTATTTGGTATCCGTTCGAGCGTGCATCTCGTCCTATAATGCGCTATTGCTTTATCATAACGATAAGTTTATTTTTAAGAATGAAATGTTTGAGGATGAACGAAACAACAATTTCGTCCAGTTTTATACAACTTCATTTACTTCCATCAAGAAACCAATATGGTCCACTTGACCGTAAACTATCTCCTCAGCCACGCTGTAATGGTTTGACTGCACGATATGATCAGAGGAAGAAGAGGAAAAAAACATTTATTTTTAGCTATAAACGTTGTGTTTCGATTATTTTATCCGTTTTTAAAAAATACAAATGATTAATTTGTTACTTTTTTTTCCTTTAGAACTTATTCGTTTGACGCTCCTCGCTTAGACTCGCGTTGATATAACACCAAAAAATTCTATTTTATAAACTTTAAACGATTAAAAGCTATATATTACTCTCACTTTATAAATTTAGATTAAAAAAAATTATATTTTTCATTATTAAAATAACATTTTTTATCACAAAATAATGTATTTGTTTAACGCTTCTTGGGTTAGATGCGCGTTATACAACATTATAAAATACATAAAAATGCTAATTTTTAAAATAAAATTTAAACAATTAAAAGATTAAAAATGTATTTTTTTTATTATTAAAATAACACATTTTATAGAGAATAATTATTGACACACGATAAACGTATCGTATAAACATTCCTGGAGCGTATATGCTGTGATTTAAGAGTTTTAAAGTTAGAATACTTCTGACAGTTTTTGTCGGGCATGTTTTAAGTTATATAAAATAGTTTTATTGAATAAGGTTGTCTTATGGCTTGTATATTCTACATAATCAATTGTTTCGTCCAGGAAAAAATTGAATGTTTTCGAATAGGAAAATAGATCGATCAAATTTTAAATGGGCCTAAAGAAAAGCATTTTCAATTTAATTTATATAAATTTTATTCAATTTTATCAAAATGTTGAAGATATAAAATAAGCAAAAATATAAAAAAAAAAATATTTTGTGATAAAGAAANTGATATGAAGCCTGACGCGAAGGAAGAAGTGAAACATGACACTAAACCCGATGTGAAAGAAGAGAAACCTGACGTGAAATCTGATGTGAAATCTGAAGTGAAGTCAGAAGTGAAACCTGACCTGAAACCCGACATGAAAAAAGAGGTTAAACCTGATGCGGAGCTTGACGTGAAAACAGAAGTAAAACCCGATGTGAAAGAAATGAAACCTGATATGAAAGCGGAAGTTAAGCCCGATGTCAAACCTGAAACAAAGCAGGAACCCCTCGACTTGAAGCCAGAGATGAAATATGATATAAGTAAACCTGTTGCCAAGGCTGATGTAAAACCTGATATTGACGATGTAGAAAGTGATTTAAAAGAAGAAGAAAAATCTGAAGCGATATCCATCGTACAACCCGATGTTAAAAGTGATACGAAACTCGATGAAATCGATACTATATCCGATATGAAATCTGATATAGAAAGAAAGGTTCTTGATGAAGAAGTGCCATTAGACAGAGAGGAGGAACAAGTTCAAGAAAACGAAGTTCATCTGAAAATTGAAGTAGAAACTAAAGAAACGGATGAAATAGTCTCAGAGAAAGAAGAAATTATAGTGACAAATATCTCAATAGAGAGCGAGAGAGAAGATAAAGATACGAGTCAAGATGAATCCGCTCCGTCGAGTAGGACAGATGAAAAATTTGAAACTATAGAAAAAGACAAAGTTCATCCTTCTAAGAAATCAAAAAAGTCCGAAATTTCAATAAACAAAGATGAGAAACGTAGAAGGAGAAGACTTAGAAAGAAAGAAGAGAAGGTCTTTAGTCCGGAAAGAACGGAGATTTCCAAAGAAATTGAAAAACCGGTAGAAGAGCAAGAAACGGTTGACAAAACTCCGAAATCGCCAGTCAAGAAACGAGTCGGAAGATCACAGAAAAGTTTAACCAGAAAAGGTGTGATAGAATTAATATTAATTATATTATTATTTAATTAATATAGCTTTATTAAAATACGTAAAATCATTGAATCTGAAATATCGAGTGATGGTGATCCGAGCATAAATAATTATAAAAAATTATGTTACTATAATTATCATACATAATTTTTGAAGCTAAAAGAAATTTTCATATATAAAATTTCGAAGAATTCATGAAAATCAACCTCTTATTCATATTAAGTGTCTTCTTTTATCATTATTCACTTTATTATAACCACAAGAACGAATTTAAAGGGTGTTTCTGTAAAACTTTCATTACGTTTCGAACTCTTTCCAGTACGTAGTTTTTAAATATATAATTATTATTTATAGTTAAGAAAATAATTATAATATGCTATATAGGCCTAATAATAATTTAAAATGTTTTTAAATTAATACTAAATTGTACATCTTTTTAAATGCAGAAACTGATTCTACTCCCGACACCAGTAAGGTAAAGTAGGAATTTAGTTATTATTTAATAAATGTTATATATCAAAAATATTAAATATTTTTTACTAATAAAATATTTAGTCTCCGCCTTCTCCGAGTAAACAACCTCTTGGTGGAAGTCAAAAGATAACTTCTTCTCCTAAAAAGACTCCTTATTCCAGAAACGGTCTACTTTCTCCTTCCAAGTCTCTCAAAGGAGATCAGAGAAGTATATTGTTAAATTCTTTAAAAAGTTATATAGTCATTAAAATAAAAATTAATGATCGAATTTTTTCTTTAAAGAAATTCCTCCTATTAAAGCGCCTGTGGGATATGCTCCTAATCCAAATCTTAAAAACGTCAAATCAAAAATTGGTTCCTTTGATAATATTCACTACAAACCAAAAGGAGGAGATAAAAAAGTAAGTTAATACATATTTAAGCCGATGATCGTTTCTCCAATTAATAAAACTAATTTATTGGAAAAAACTGATTTTTGTGAACGTGAGGCACCATAAAATTAAAGGCTATATTAATGCTAAGACTATAATAATTAACTAGTTATAATAATTATATCATAATCACGAATATCCAGAGAACATTTTACTATATTTCGGTGATGATGATTCCTGATATTTAATGCTTACCGTATGTGACGATTTAAAAATTATCATAGGTGCAAATAGTGTAATCGCCGTTTCCATTAAACAGAAAATGAAATCGCAAAATAGTATCTTTTATGGGAGAACACGACATCGTGTAACATTTACAAACATAATGAAAAGCAGTCAACTGTGCAGGAATGTGTCGGTTGAAAGTAGTTATCTGACTTTTTTTCTAATTATAACACTTATCAAAATCATTTGGCCACTATTTTTTCTTTCATAGCGACATATATTCCCTGGTGTTCATTTTCAAAACCAATCTTTTCTTCCGCGTATTCTGAGAACGTAATTTCCTCCAAATAGTTACCTTTACTTTTAAATTTCTCTGTAGATAAGGATTAAATTATTTATATTTTTTCCCCATAATTATAAACAAAAATTTAAATTAAACTTTAATTATAAATATATACATTTTAAATTCTACGGCATTTTACTTAGTTATTGATCTAACAGTTTTTATGTAAAATCGAATTTAATAGTATGAAATTTATAAAAACATTTCGTATAAATTTACTTTTGTTTCCTTTTATTTCAGGTAATTACAGTGAAAAAGTTGGAGTGGCACGCAACTTCTAAGATAGGATCATTAGAGAATGCTAATTATAAACCAGGAGGAGGAGATAAGAAAATAATAACCCAGAAATTGGAATTTAAGGATAAGGCACAGCCTAAGGTTGGGACTCGTACTTTAAAATATCTGGCACCTATTGGGGGTGTTAAAGTTAATTAAGATTATATGACTACTGAAGATGGTTGATATGATGATAATTCCTGAGAAATGCACCATCAACAGTCTAAACAAATTGATATATTGTATTTATAGACACTGTAAATATGTTGCGAATCAAGAAAATAAGTCAAAATTAAGTTTACAAATTGATTTATAAATAATATATATATAATACTGTACAGACGATAATAAACCCAATTTACCCGCCTAAACTGTCCGTAGCGTGGCGATGGACGGCGGAAAGTAGTTCGGCTGCTCGATTACGTTTTATCGAATTATAAAAGTTTTTTTACCGTTGTTTACGGATACCGCCACAATTTTTTCGCCGTCTTATTGGAATCGTAATTGTAAAAACCAGTCTTATAGGGAAATCTACTGTATACCTATGTTTTTCATTTAAAAGCAAGGCATTATTTGTTGTTCGCACTAATAATAGAATATTTTAAAATCATGAACAGATTAATTCAGCTTAGAAAAAATTGTTTGTTTTCAGAGAGGAGAAGAAATCATTACTGTAAAAAAAAGTTCCACAGCAAAAGTCTATGAATTTTAAGTAGTGAAGATAAATAAATCAATTCTTATGATTTTTTAAATCAAAATTCCATAATTTGAGCGTATGTCTAGTAGATCTGTACAACGTTTTCCAAGAATATTAGCGACGTATTAGAAAACACGATGCTAATATTTACTTATTTATGTCATTAAATAAGTTATATAGCTGTCGTTTACTTTGTTTTAATACATTTTCTTTATTATTTTAGTGAATCCATAAACAACGCAAGATAACATGAATCGTTAAATCACAAGTCATGAGTTGTGATTTAATGATTCTGATTATTCCAGCATAGTTTTATTAAGTTCAAATTTATATTAATACGATGTAGGTAGTTACTTATAATTCTGTAATATCACATCCCAGATAAATGTATGACAGTTGAAACTTGAATGCAGTTCTTTAGCTGCCCTCTAAATAATATTAATATAAAAAATTTAAATTAAGTAACATGTTACTTACTTTGGATGCTCATTTCACTCCNAAAATAATAATAATTATATATTTATAAAATTTAAAAAAAAACATATATTTTGAAATGAAAGAAAATCCATCCTACTTTTTTAGTTGAAAAACACGTCACCACACCTTCCCATAACACTATTCCCTAGTTCTGTAAATTCGAACTACGGAAATAAGTATTAGCGCATAAACTATGATGTTTTCTATATTATTAAATAATAAAATTTTGCTGTTTGGAAACATATAAAAGTATGCGGATATGCATACTTTTAATAAAGTTTCAATTTAAAAAAAGAGTTTATTTCTGGAAAGTGATAATGAATATTATAATAAATACTACTTGTAAATCTATTAAGTTTTTTATTTGACTTTATCATAAAAATAACACAACAGACATACAGACGTTCTCAGAACAAACATCTTTCTCTTTGTGTGTGTTTCATCCCCGATCCTGCATGATTGAGTAGAAATTGTGTCAACCCGAATACAATGCGTCCTCCCGTATTGTGTTGGTCTCAATTGCCTAAAATCCGCTAAATATTAAATCATAAATTGGATTTCTCTTCAGATTGAGACTCTGAAGGGAGACAAGAAGTCTTTCCTCAAGAGTTTACAATATGACGACGAGACATCCGAGGATCAGGTAAAGAAAAAATTAAAAAACACTACCAGAATTTTTAATAATTTAATTTTAAAAATCCTATTCTGTCTTTTAATTTATCAAAATATAATAGAAATTTCGTGAGAAATACAAATCAGCTCGGTAATTAAATTCTGGCTTTAGTCATCTAAAATCGCGTGTGTTGATAATTATGTACTTAAATTGCTTTATAGCGCCGTTTTATCGAGTATCGTTGTAACGAGGTATCGTTTATAAGACGTAAAATTTGAATGAATAGGCCTAATACCCGAAATGAAGTTCAAAAATTCATTTTAAAAAATCTTTACCAGTAAATTCTTTCGTACGTAAATATAATAAATTTTCAAAATTTATTATTATTTAATTTTGAAAATAAATTTTGGGGGGAATTTTCTGAAAATTATCCACAAAAACACATTCAAAAAAAATTTGAAGTGAGTAAAGCAGTGCCATCTAGTGTAAAATAAAGTAACTTATAATGTCCAACTAAACTTTGTAATCAATAAATTCTTTTTCTAATTTCCACTGTTATTAAGCCGTAAATATAAATCAAATATCGTTTTTAAATGTTACAATACATCAAGACAATGATATTGATAAATACTTTCGACATTAATCTGAATTTTGCAAGTTATGATTACGTATTAAAAATGTTCAGGTCATACTTAATGAAGATATTTAATGTCGGTTAGACGAAAATGAGGAACTTTTCGGTAAAATTAGATTTTGTTTTAAAATTTTAAATTCATTTCCGAATAAAATATTAAATTAATTCATTATTTTTAATATAAAATTCTCTTAATAAACTTCTCTTATTTGTACAGTATAATAATAACCTAGATTTTAAATAAATTTTATAAAATTATATCTTACGCAATAAAAATTTGAATATCTTTTAAAACATTTAAAAATCATCACAAGTATCAATTTTGTAACGTGGCACGAAAACACAACACAAAATCATTTTTACTTTTCATTTCTTCCTTTTAATTATTTATCATTTTTAAAAAATATTCTCATTTTTTATTGATTTATTTCCCATCTCTGCATTATTTCGTCTCGTATTAGTTAAAAAAAATTATAATTAATTTTGTAATTTTAATTGTGTTAATTAAAAAAATATTTTAAAGTAATTAATAATTAGTTTATATTATTAAATTCCTCAACATTGACTTAACTTTTTTAATTACAAAGTTAATTTAAAGATTCGAAAAATAGAATAGATTCCAATGAAGATTATTATTATTATTATTATATACAACATGAAAAGTCAACAATACTGAAGTTCATTTAATTAATAAGATAGCTTGTCTCGTACATGTTAGAGCTTAAATATATATAGGCTACATAAATAGTAATAAGAATGCTCTAAATTATATAATTAGTGATATTATTATTTGTTTTCAGCAACCTATAGAATCAGGTTCGACTGAGACTCCCGCCGCTCAGGAAGATACAACTACAACAACACAGGAAACTACCCAGAGTCAAGATGTTACTGCATAGAATATAGACGATCCATATCCCGAAATTAATTTATTTCCATTACAGTAACTAAAGGATACGTATTCTAGCTGTCGTCTTGCATATTTTAATCAATGCTACACATTAGAAAAACTGAAAATATAGTTCCTTCATTTAATATATGTTAATGTATTTCTTGGGGAAAGAACGAATATTTATTCACACATTAAATGGGTTTCTTTTATAAATGCTCAAGTTGATGATTTATTAAATTTAATTTGCAATTTTTCTTGGCTTAAAGTGCCACTTTTGTCGATGAGATATGGCAGAGATTTGTAACTGACACAAATTTTACAGTATCTTAATATACAATCACCTATTCATATACATTACATATATATATTTTACTGATACAATCTAAAAGAAAAGCCTTAAAACTTTATATAATACAATACGTCTTTATACGGGATATTTAAAAAAAATTGTATGGGGGATTGGTAAATACAATCATACTGAACTTTATATTATCTTAAAAGTATTATGAAACACATATCTATTGCATCACTTTCACTTTCTGTCATATCTGCATCTAAATTTTTAATAAAAACAATAAGAAAAAAATGAAATTTCGTTCTTTCCACAAGTGGGTTTNGCGAAATTTCTGAGAGTCCGAAATGCTACTGATTGAAATTTCTATCATTACCGATTGGAATTTCTGTTTATCAGTAATGTGTTGTTTCTATTATAAGCCAGTTACTTCGGCTAAGTTGTAAACAAGAATTTAAAATAAATCGATGTAAAGAAGAGCAAATCTACAAAACTTAGGTTTATATACTTACAGAGGCCTATATATTTACAATAATGATAGCAGATAAATTATGATATGATGTTAGAAGTAAAATATAAAAAATAGTAAAGCTCCTTGGACCATTATTTGCAATTCTTCTAACATGGAGACATCAGACGTGTGAAGGTGTAATCATCTACAAAACCCTCCATATTATCTGATAGAAGTTTGTGCCGTGTTATTTGCTACTTGCTGGGTGACAGGTCAGCATGCACGCTATTTCCATCCTTTTTATGTAGTGTACATCAACTATCGCATCATTCACTCTTTGGACAAGTAAATAACGTTATACCGAGAAATATTCAGCTAAAAGTAGCGATATTTTGTAAGAAATATGCAAATTCTTTTCCTCTGCCAGATTTTTTTATTTATTTCTTTCTTCTCTTTTTATAGCTAAAGTCTCCCGTTTTGCCTTGTTAATCGATTAAAATCGATTCGTAGATCAATGCTAATTACCACTAACAGGATCTTATTAGAGCGCGTATTCGTGCAGAATGTTTGTGTATTTATTGGATTGCAGAAATGATTATTGTTCATAATGCCATCATCAGCGCCTATTCAACTCTTTTCTTCTTCTTCTCGGTAGTATAATAATTAATTTTTACAAATTCTCACCACAACTCGCTAGAAATTTAATTTAATTAACATTACACAGATCGGCGTTGATTAATGGGCGAGATGTCACGTGTTTCCAATGCACGCGCGATGATGTCAAAAGTTCCATTTTTTCTTTTTTTGTTTTGCTTTTTTTTCCTTTCGAAATATCGCTTCCGATTGGCTCTTTAATTTGTCTAATTAATTTGAATCTGACCAATGGCTTTATTGTTTTATAAATCTAACAAATTTGAGTTATAATTTGATTTTAGACTTAAGCATATTACTTTTATGATTATTTTAATCGTTTATTGGATAATTTTCTTTGATTCTTCGGTTAGTTTATGAGTTTAGATTCAAATGCCGACATTTAAATGAGTTTTCCCTCTTCGGTTATTTGTAGAATGACGATGAATATACGAATTGAATTGAATTTGACTTGCTTTGTATTAACAGTTGTTGGAATAGCGTCGTCCATAAATAACGTCAGACAAATGGATGCTATTTAAATTCAAAATCCAAACAGAAAATTTTTTATAAAATTTATCGTTTAGTAATTTGAATTTTTATGTAAATACAATTCAAATTTTTACACAAATTGTTTAAAATAATTAAGAAATCTATTTAAAAACATACATAAAGAAATAAAATGATTCTATTTTTATTTATTTAATAATTTATCTTCATTTTAATTCATTCGAAAATTTGATTAGATTGCAGCATAGAAGCCATTTGGGTTTAGTCCATATCTAAATAAAATTTTATTTCCAAAATTTATAACAAAATTAGGAGAATCTTAAATAAATAATAAAAGAATATTTTGAAAATGCTTTTAAAGTAATTTTTATATGATATATTCAATGAAATATCGTTACATTCAATTTCGAATTTAAAATTTATCGTAGAAATGAACTAAACTTTAACTTTTTAAAATTAAAATATGTAATGAAAATATGTTTTTGTTTTATATTTTACGCAAAATAACGTTTATACTTGAAGAAAATCATGTTTAATCTTTGGAATTTCGTGCAGATCGTTTACGATTAATAAAGAACAGCGCAAAACTATAATTTGTAGGGAATAAAAAATTATATTTATCTTTTTTTATTTAAAGTTTCGATAATATAATGCTTCCTTCCGATTACAGGGAAAAAAAGTGTGTTTCAGCATATTATGCATCTTTCTCAATCCGTGATAAATTTAAAATTTAACATCTTTTTTTAACTTTTTTTCTTTCGTTCCCTTCGTTGATGGTTGAACAAAAACCAATCAAACATAAGACTACGAACGGATTTGAAAGCAAATTAAGTACAAAAAGACCACGCATACGAAGTAAAGATAGGGAAGACTCCATGGAAATTACTCGAAGACCAGATTAAAACAGATTTTTTTTCTAAATTCACTTTGATAGCTGGCAAAAGTGTTTTTCACGCACCTCACTAATATCTCGCTTCCGTGATCTGCTATCCAAAATCTACCTGGTGGGAATTAACAGTACAGAAACAGAGATAACAACATGAGCATTTTAACAGAATTAATCCAAAGCAAATAAAAGAAAAAAAAAGGCGTTTCGAAAAGAGAAAAAAAGAACTCAGATGCTGTCTTTGGGCGGAGCATTCTGCTGGCTTCTCACCACTGGTGAATTATCTTTCGTGAATCACACTCATCTGTACGGATCTCTTCCATTATTTTAATCGTATATCTCGGCACTAAGTAATTAAGTAAAATAATTCGTTTCTTTTTCTGCTTGGTTTCTACTTTGAAAAATATTTAACTTTTTCTTCGAACATAGTCTAAAATAGGTTAAAGTTGTATGCTCCGGTCCGTATGCTCCAAAAGTTTCTGTTGAATTTTGCTTTGTTTACTCTGTTAATTGTAAGTTACACGCTGACTATATCTTTTAATTTAAAAGAGAAAAGTCATTTCGATGTAATTCGTGGCAATTGTTTTAAAACTTAATGGCTACTAGTTAATTATTCGAAAAAACTATTAAATACATGTAGAAAGTTCTTAATTATAAGCAGAATTCGTAGAGAGCGTTGTGGAATGTTTTTCCTATCATCAGCGTGTAAAGTTATTACTTAGATTTTCTGCCTTGTTAATTTTAGAAGTTAATGGAAAGTTTTTCAATCTTTTATTTCAAAATTAAAAGAACGACACCCATTGGAGGGTAAGAATTTCGAAATGAATAAGAAATTATAAATGTTAAAAGTTTAGTCTCTATTTTTTAATAATTTTTAAAATATAATATTTATTTTTGAAATTTATTCTGCATTTAAATTTAAACACAAACAGCTTCTACAAATAGCACAAATATCTCAAAATGCTATTTCTTGTCAATAAATTAATCATTTTCTTTCGTTATTAGTCTAATAAAAGTATTTATTCTTAAATCTTATAGTTTTAGTTTGCTCTATATTTAATTAGTTGTTATATTTTCTATTGATTATAATTAATAGATAATCTTGTAATTCGATTTCTTAACAAAAATTTTGACGTTCGGAAAAATCATTATTTTTAAAATTATGATTAAACTGAGCCCTTCAAAATAAAGAATTAAGATGTATTTGCTTAAACAGAAGGATTTTATTTTCTTCAAATTTAGATTATCTACAACATCCTTACTTCACGATTAATGTTGTAAATCGTATCTACTGCTTAACAATTAAATACAAATACACAGTTTCTTCCTCTAGTTTATGAGACATTGTCATATAATTTATAACATTATCCAAATATTACAAAAGATGCATTCGTTTCATCAAAATAGCGAGTACTTTCACGTCAATTTGGCTTCATTTGTCACTTATAAAAAGGTAAAAATAATGACACACTGACGTAAAAGTGTGCATCATTCTGAAAAAAATGATTGTACAGTACCTAAGGTAATTCTTTTTTCTATCCTTTCAATGTTTGTTATCTATTCAACATACATTGCCATATCTTAACTCCTCGTCTATAGTCACTTCTTGAAATCTTATACTTAAATAAATGCATAAAAATATATTTAATTCTGAAAACTTTAACGTAGTTAATTCATAACATGATTACTTTGTAATTATATTTTCACTCAATAAATTTAGCTAAATTTTTGTACTAGCCTAAAACTATCTTCAGCGAATGCAAATAATAAAGCAGTTAATTACAATTAATTAAATCATTATTAGTATTAGCTAATAAACAATATTTTGTGATTCCTACCAGTTAAACATCTATGTAAATATTATACATTTATTTGACTAATTTAAACATATGATTCAATACAGAAGACTTGTTAAATATTTATGTAATTTCAGTATCTTATTATAATAATATCTTAATTAAATTATTTTAAAATTAATTTTATGTTGCTTTTATCATCTTACTTAAATCGTGTAACAATGTTTAGAAATATTATAATAAAATATTTTTATAATTTACTTATTTTATGAAGCATAAAGAAAGGAAACTTTGATATTTACCAAAAACTGTAAGTTTTATATAAAAATAATTAGTGTAAGATTAAAAAAATTCTATATATAAAACATAAAAATACTAATATATTTTCAAAACTTGAATATATAAAACAAGCAAAAGTAAAAAATAAAATATATTTTGAGATAAAGAAAATTTCCATATTTAAGCAACTAAAGCATTCAAAATCTTTTACAAACGGAATAGATTTTTAAAAAAAGATTTTTATGTATAAAATGTATAAAATGGTCTGTAATAAACTTTAAAACAGAAAAATTATGTTTATTTATAAATAAAAAGTGTATTTAACGGCAAACGAATCGAGAATATTGCAGTTTTTACTCTCCAATCACAATCCTTTTTGCTGTATTACTAACAAATTTTTATAACACTTTTAAAAGCCTAAATTGATTTGGGTTTTTATTCAATTTTATTTCTTAATATTTCAAAACTGTTTGATTTATTTCCGATTTTACTCTCAATATGATATTAAAGCTCTCAAAGTTTACTATCATGCTTAAAGTTCTCAAAGCTTTAAGATCTTTAAGCATGATATTAAAAGTGAAATAGCCTGTAGTGAATCTTTTCGTATCCGTTAAAATTTCCAATATTTTGAAATGAATTCGTTTCAATTCATAAAATTCTTAATATTTTATTAAATAAGACAAATTAAAAACGAAATTCTCACTATTTTTATACTCTATAAAACATTGGAAAATATTTTGAGAGTAAAAACTATTCGAATAGA